GAGGAAGGAAACAGAGGGACAAGGAGTAAGTATCTTTCCCCTTTTCTCCCTCTGCTTCAAACATACATACATGGAATAAAAAAGAGAAATAAAATAAAAAAGCCAGAAAGAAAACAGATGTCTTTCTATAATAGTTTCCATCCAGTTAGTATTGTTTTGACCGTAAGGTCCCGTAGAAGAGAAATGGAATAAAACTGTCTACATTTCACCCCAGACCATTTCCTGCATATATTAACCTAGACTTGTATAAGAAACAAATCACCTGGAAGGTTATAGGAAAGTCCCTGTGGACTAGTTCAGTAATAATAAGTCAGAGAAAGGAATCTGGCTGATTTGTTCATTAAAATGGTGCCATATGCATCTGCTAAAAAGTGTTTCCAGCTCTAGAGACGTGTTCCCCTTCCCTGGGGCCTTCTCAGACCCTGACCCAGACTCATGCCCCTTTCTCCACTAGTCAGTTCTCAGTGGCATCATGCTGCAAGTGCCCATTAAAAATGTAGAGAACAGAGGTGTACCTTCACATGCTAAGGGTTCCCATTTCTCCCACAAATGAAGAAAACTGAATTACCCACAGGACTTCCCTCATTTAAAAAAAAATATTTAAAAATCCTATTGCATCTCTCCCTTCTTAAGAAGTCATTGCCTTTCCTAGTTTTTTTTTTTTTGTTTTTTTTTTTTTTTTTCCTTTTACTGGAATCAATTGATTCAAGGTTCAAGTCCTGGGTATTATTTATTTGATCTCTTTCATTCATGTTTATTTAATTTTATTGATTTCAGAGAGAAGAAAGGAGAGGGAGAGCGAGATAGAAACATCAATGATGAGAGAGAGAGACTCATTGTTTTCTGCCTCCTGCACGCCCCCTACTGGGGGTCAAGCCAAAAATCTGGGCATGTGCCCTGACTGGGAATTGAACTGTTTATCAGTTGATGTTCAATCGTTCAGCCACATCGGCCAGGCCTCATTCATGTTTTTACTTACAGTATCAATCTTTAATTACTATCATTATATTTAAAATCAAATTATATTTCTGTTTATAAAAGTGATATAAAGTTACACAAAATATTTGTTATAATTTTTATGATTATAAAAACATCCTAAGTAAGTACAATGAAGTTTTGTTTTTCCATTAATGCATGGTTCAAAAACTGTTGAATGAATTTTCACCAAATGTAGAAGGAATGTTTGGGATGGTCTGGTTTAGAAAAGCGGCTACATGGGATTCAGACTGGGCACTCTGGGCAGTGATCCTCCTGGGCAGCTGGCCGTGAGGTACAGCGAGAGGCTTGTATGCTGTTGATGGAGGTAGATTTGCCCAACACATTAGGAAGCTGAGAAATAGCTTCAGACATGAACCCACATTCAAAGTCTTGAGAATCAGTGTTCTGAACTGCAGACTCAACCTTTCACAGATGCTACATATCATCAGTGGTAACAGGGACTGCTCTCTTTGATGAAGACTTCGAGTTTTCCTGAGCTGAGTCGGTGGGGCAGCCAGTAAATAGTAGAAATAACAGTTACATCAACAATAGCAACAACAATATAATAAAGCAATTGCGAATGTTTGCTCTCTGTAAGGGTGGTAGTAGGTATGTGACATGCATTGCATCATTTAATCTCCACAGCAATCTCTGAACCAAGTGATTCTGTTATCTCTTTTTCAGGGATGAGGAAATGGAAATTTCCATAAGTTAAACAACTTGTTCCAGGTCAGAAAATTGGTAAGTGGCAGAGCCAGCATTCAAATCCCAAGTCTCTATCCCCAACCACCAGGCTTATTTCTAGCAACAGACTTGCATGCTGTGTGTCACATGTGGTAAGCACTGCTTTCTTAGAACTGACTACCAGGTCACCAAAACACCGCTCCCATGGCTGAAGCCAGTTAGCCTTGGTCGCCAGGCTCTTCAGTTTGATACACCACATCCCCAGCCTCTTATTTTCTGACACCCGCCTCCAGCCAACGGGGCTAAGGCCACGTGACTCCCCAGCCTCTTTGTCTGGTGTTCTCACTTCCACCTCTCCACCTGCTGCCACGCTGCTTCCCAAGCAAAGGGCTGCTCCTTCTCTGCTGCCAAGTCCTCTCCCTCCTTGCTCAGAGGCGGGCAGCACCCTGTGTTCCCTCCTGCCCAAGCTCTGCTCAGTGGGAATGATACTGTTTAATTAGCTAGTTACTAATAATAGGAAATGAGCAGAGGGGAGCCAGACATTATAGGCATGTCAGTCATTTGGGCAGCTTCACCAGGAAGTGACAATTTCACACTCCCCAGAGAACCACCGCCCCATTCCCCATAGATGACTGGGGAAGGGACCAGACAAAGGCGAAAATGGATGCATAGAAAGTAAAGTTGGGGTGACATAGGGAAGGTGCCTGGCAGTCAAAGTTGGGAGCGGAGATCATTGACCAGAGTATGCAGGGCTACTGCAAACCTGCAACAAGTTGAGAATATATAATCCCCTAGACCCATAGTCAGCAAACTGCAGCTCGCTAGCCACATGCAGCTCTTTGGCCTCTTGAGTGTGGCTCTTCCACAAAATACCACGGCCTGGGCCAGTCTATTTTGAAGAAGTAGCATTAGAAGAAAGTTAAGTTTAAAAAATTTGGCTCTCAAAAGAAATTTCAATCGTACTGTTGATATTTGGCTCTGTTGACTAATGAGTTTGCCGACCCCTGCCCTAGACCAGTGGTTCTCAACCTTCTTAATGCCATGACCCTTTAATACAGTTTCTCATGTTGTGGTGACCCCCAACCATAAAATTATTTTCGTTGCTTCTTCATAACTGTAATTTTGCTATGGTTATGAATCGTAATGTAAATATCTGTTTTCCGATGGTCTTAGGAGACCCTGCTAGTGGTTCTCAACCTGTGGGCCTAGACAAGAAGCTAGTGCTCTTGTGTGATGCTTGGAGCTCTCTCGGCTCTCTGGTTCCTTTGGCTTTGCTCCTGCTCGTGTTCCCTCCATAGCTGCATGGTCCAGGGTCCTGGGGACCCACACACGATGGACTGATAGGCTGCAACTGGAATACCAGTTAAGCTAGCCTGATGCTATATTGGACTGTGCAGACATGGAATGGGAACTCTGGGCCCTGGCTTTGATCTTAGTCCTGTTGAAGGCAAAATGGTACTTCTTCCTTGGTGGGACAAAGGGAAATAGGAACTTGGAAACTCGGGTGTGTAATTCCAGAGATATAAAGCTTTTTCCAATATCTCATCCTCCCCTGTGAGTCTCAGAAAATGCTTTCCTTGGAATATCCCAAGAAGCCCACTCCCACTAGTAACCCATGGAGACATGGAGATCTCCCCACAGAGAACAGAAGCACAGGAGTTTCTTACCTCTAAAAATCTTCTATGCACCTGTTTTTAAGGCCGATGCTTCACTTAAGGCTGCTCCGGCCATGTTTGCTTAACGAAAGTACTTATTACTAGTCCCTGGTACATAGCTTCAGACATGGGGCTGCAAAGTTGGGTGCAGATTTAACAAACATTCTTGTTCATGGCCAATGTTATTCTACTATGTTACAGAGTTGCTTTAGGTACTGGAAATACAGTAGTTAACAAAAGTTTATAGCAGTCCCTCCCTCACGGAATATCCCTTTTCCCTTTCTGGGTTAGGGTGTAAACTCCCCTAGAATAGTTCTGGAGAAGTACTGCCTGGAATTATTCTACTTATAGTCTGTGTGACTGATTAAGTTAGTTAACCTCTCTGTGTCTCAGTTTCCTATAAATTGGAAAAATTAATTGCATTTCTCTCAATGATGTTATTAGAATTAAATAAGCTAAAATAGTTAATAATCTACAGTATTTAGGATAGTAGCTGTGATATTGTGACTTATAATAAATATATATATTTGGTCTTCCTCCTAAAACCCTTGGAATTTCTTAAGTGATGAGAGCTGTAGAGGTTTCTTTTGTTATGTTAATGAGGAACTTTTGAAACCGCCTAAGAATGGAGGCTGGTTGCCAGGGGAACTAACCAAGAGATTACAAAATTGTAATTTTTAGTCCCAACCCTGACCTCCTGGAAGAAGAGAGAGGCTGGGGATTGATTTCCATAACCTATCATCAATGATTTAATTAATCAGGCCTGTACTGAAGCCTCCATAAAAGCCCAAAAGAACGGGGTTCTGAGAGCTTCCTGGTTGGTGGACATGTGGAGACCTGGGAAGATCGGCATACTTGCAGAGAGGTAGAAGCTCCACGCCCTTTCCCCACACCTTGTCCTCTGCATCTTGTCAATCTGGCTAAACCTAAAATACGTTCTTTTATAATAAACCGGTGATCTAGTAAGTGAAAGTTTTCTCTGAGTTCTGTGAGCCACTCTAGCAAATTAAGCCCATGAAGGGGGTTGTTGGAACCTTCAATCCAGTTGGTCAGAAGCACAGGTGACAACCCTTATATTGCCATTGGCATCTGAAGTGTGTGTGTGTGTGTGTGTGTGGTGGCGGCAATCTTTGGGACGTAGCCCATGACTTGTGGGATCTGATATTATACCCAAGGGTAGTATCAAAATTGCTAGGTGGTATGGACATCACTTCCTAGTTGGGTGCTGAATCATAGTGACACACTTTAATGTATGTTAACTATTACTGTTACTTTCTTTAGATAATTAAATATGTAAATGGCAGAGATCTTCTTTTGGTAGTATTCTCCACTAGGCTGTAAACATTGTAAAGGCAAAGGCCAAGACTTCAGTTCTTTTGTGTTTGCCACACCTGGTTTAGTGCTTCCACAGCTCAGGCAACGGGAACTGCTCTTGACTGACAGGGCCAGCAGAGGACACGTCTGCTTTGAGGTCAGGATAGATCTGGGCTATCTTCGGGCAAAACTGTGTTCACCGGAGGGATTCCATTCTCATTATCACATTTTTTTGAGGAAAGACAAATGTACACCAAATGCTTCCTGTTGTTTGTGTAGAAGAACTTGCTTTAATTTCTCTTGAAACAAATCCCAAGGTTCTCATGTTAGAAAACATCCTCTGCCTCAAAAGGAAATGACATGACTCACCTTGATTTTTCAATGGTAAAGGCATAGTTTCCCTGAGTTTGCTTAAAAGGTTTTTCATTTCTCGCATGTCTCTGTAAAAGTGATGGAAAGAAAAAAATCATCAGCTGTAAATTTTGGAAATGCAATCTCAGTCTGTTCTGTGATTCAACGGAAGGACAAGAGTCTGTGGTTAATTGTATTAGCTCTAGTTGCAACAGGCAAATATTGAATCTATTTTGCTTTTCTAAGAAGGAAAAAAACACACAATAAAACCCCACAAGATGGGTGACTCTGGGTGGAAAGAGAACTAGTCTGGCCAAGATTTCTCTGGGACATTCTGCTGCAGGAGCCCTCATCTCTGCCACAGGTTGGACTTGGCTGAGATCAGGGAAGAGGACAGTACTTCAGATTTCCAGGGGGAAGCAGAAGACACACAACTAGAATAATGGGGTTACCCTGGGTAAAGCAGAGGCTGGGTGCTGGTCCGATGGCTGTTGTGATTGCATAGGTTCACTGCCTGTTGTCTCTACCAGGATTGGAATTGGGTGTAACATAGTTGTTAAACATTCACAGGGTCAATACTTATTAAACTGACTTGGAATGATGTATGACAAATTCTAACAGTGTCAGAGAAGAGCTGTTCACAATGGATGAAACGGAGAGAGGGAGAGAGAGGGGGAGAGAGAGAGAAAGAGAAATGGCAGGGGGTGGTGCAGGTGGTGGTAAACACTAGCCTATATATCTAACCCTCCAAACCTCCACCATCCTCCCTCATCCCAGACTACATATGGCCATGAGACCACAGAGTCGGAGAGTCAGAAGCCATTTTCCTAGTAAGAGGAGGCAAGATGGACTTTTCAAATCTTTGGGATAGTGGATCCCCATATGTTCAGCAATGGCTATCCACTGGAGTCAGCACTATCAAAATCCCAAGACACAGTGGTGGATTTCATTCGAAAGAGCAAATATCAGATAACATCTTTTTGTTAGGCAAGCAATAGCTGGCACCCAGGATTTAAGGGGGGGGAAAAGAGTTTTCTTTTTTGGGGGGGGAGGGAGAAGGAAAATTTTAAAATTAAGGATATAATATCTATTCATTGATTTTTTTCTGTCATTTGAGAAAATAGAGCCATATTTTAATTTTAGGTTTGAAATCTCTAAGTCCATTTCATGAAACACAACTGTTCTGTTGAGTATAGTTTAAGAACCACTTGCCTTCGGGAGACCCCGTAGGTATTGACTGGTATGTGAAAAGGAACTCAGAAGGAGCTGATTGGAAAAGGAGCAGAAAGCAGCCTGGGGATCTGTAGAAATACACCAGTATAAACACTCAGAACACCTTCCCACAGGTAAAAGGATTGTCTGTGCGGTACTGCCTATTGCTAAGCCCCAAAGGGTATTTTTAGAAAGAGAAGTTGGGGGAGGGAACAGGAGGACAGGGCCCTGCATCCAGAAATACAAGGGCACCCTATGTTTTCCTGTGCATTTCCCAAGGGCAGGCACAAAGTGGGAGAGGGCTAGTAATGCAGTGTGTGAGGCAAGGTCTCCTTGGAGAGCACCAGTTCTCAGCCTTGGATGCTTCATGGGAGAATCACCTTATATGGAGCCCTACTCCCTGAGAGCCTGACTTGGTTGGTTTATGGTGGGGTCCAATCACCAAGGATTTTTAAAAGTCCTTCTAGTGATTGTGATGTGCAGCCCAGTGTGAGATCTTAGGGCTGAAAAACAGAGGAACTGTGGAAGCCACCCTCCCAGACAGGTCTCTATTCCTACTTCTCTCAGCCATTCCCATCTCCTTCAACCTGAATCCAGGCTGTAGGACAGAACTGAAACACGGCCAGCTCATTGGACTCTATGCCCCTATTTTTATTGCTACACATAGCTTGCTTTTGTAAGCACACAGGGCTTGGATGTGGCTTCTCTGCAAAGCTTCAAAAGAGGAAAAAGGCTTTGCTGATGGCTTATGCCCTGACCACAGCCCTCTGGCAGATATTTCTTCCTGGGAATAGAGCAAAACATTTTCCATTTTATAAATTAAGATAAATCACTCCCTCATCATTTGTCTATAGTTCTAGCAAACTGTGCCAAACAGCTTTATTGTTTGAATTGTTGGATTTTCAAGCTTATACAAAATCCAAGTTTTATTAATAGTACATAATTACCACATGCTTCAATTTTCTATAAACACAGAAATTCGGCAATTAGCTTTAGAGTTATATCATGATCTGAAAGTAGAACCACAATGGCTATAAATGCTCTCATGTGTTACATTTCTAAAAATTTAAAGAGAAAATGTTTCTTATCTTGTCAATGACTCCTCCCCACCCCCCTCCCCTCATTCTCTTCCACCTCCCCCCCCCCTCGCCCCATCCCACACAGCCCACAGCCCACAGCCCACACCCCTCACAGAGCATTGGTGGAATTGCCCAGCATTCATTCAGCTGCTTGTGCAGGCGCTGGTGTCATCAGTGTGAAGGACAATAAACAAGCACATTGTCCTTCTGCCTCACCGAATAGTATTTTTAGCATTTAGGTGAGACATGGCACTTACCATCGCACCCTTCCCTCAGGTGAAACAGAATCCCTGTACAATCTATTCTTCCCAAGAAAGAAACTCCCTCTCCAGCGGGGAGCAACTGCTCCCTAAGACAGATGCATTAACTCGCTCTGACCACTAAGGGGCCATCAGCTACATTCTGGGAGAATAAGAGAAGGGAGCCCAGCAAAAAGCTGTTTGTGAGCTAGAAGACATGCTCAGCCCCTGCGTGGCAGCCAAGCAGGCCATTCCATGCATCTGAAATCCGACAACCTCCCGGAGGCATCTTGGCACAATTTGGGGACCCAGCCCACTAGCTAAGCTGTGACAGTACGGAGATCCAACTTTCTCCCTTGCCAAGAATGCACACTGTTTTATTTCCATGGAGATGCATGTGGTAGAGCGGGATGAGCAAGCCTGCCTCCACGGGAGGTTCAGCTGCGGTTCCATTGCAGTTTGGACCCCTTACCTTCTCTCAGTTCAGTTTCCTGAGCGCTCCGTTTCTGACTCTGAAACACAAAATCCTGACTCCCTGTAGCCCAGAAGAGTGGAGGAGGATTGGCAGTCTATTTAGGGTAACTTCCCACTTACCTTTCAGTGTTCTCTATGTCTGTGGAAACCTGCCAGGAATGCTGCTGCGTATCGACGGCGGGTGAAACGGAGTCCTCTAGAGCAGGTGGCTCAGTGCTCTCTTCAATTCTGCAATCCAAACTCTTGGTTCCCCCGCCAGGCTCCTTTCCTAAGGGGCAGGGAGGTGGGGCCAGGGGTAGGGGTGTTGGTAAAGAGGAGATAGACAAGCAATCATCAATGCAGCTGTATGCCCAAGATGTCATTACAAAGGTTGGCTCTGCTTTGGACCAAATGCTCCGTTAACACTTATTTCTGAATACTAAAATAATTGATATATAAAAATAAATGTGTGTGTGTACGTGTGTGTGTGTGTGTGTGTGTGTGTGTGTGTGTGTGTGTAGCATGTTTGCACAATACTCTGGGAAGATAGCTTGAGGTTGATGCAATTTGAAGATCAAGATAAAAGTAAAGGTCCTGTCTTTGATGGGATATTGGTGCTCTGTAACCCATTCTTATGGAGTTTGATCAGGAGGAGATAAACAATTAAGTGGTGATGAACTATATACCATTCATCAGCTTGGAGAAGAAATGAGCCTCTGAATATTCAGCCAAAGCACAAACACAAATTCACTGATGAGAACTTTTGATCTTTTGGCGTGGACTTTATGCATATTGATCCATGGTAATGGAATTGCTTTTCCAATTTTATGGCATGCTGTTGGGTGTGAGTTAATTAAGCACATAATTTAGCATATTACCACTTCACGGTAGGAGGGCACTGACCTCTTAAAAGCTTTTGCAGAGTGCTTCCTGGGAGAGTACAGCAAATGCAGTCCATTTGCTCCCCCTCCGGGCAGGTCAGCATAGGACACTAGTCTGTGAGGTTGAAATGTCTTGGGAATAGAGTATGGTTTGGGCAGCAAAGAGGATACACACAGATGGAATTCCTTGCTCTGTGGGCTCTGCCTGACTTAGGGGCCACAGTGGCCCCTGTCCTGCCATCAGGACTATAGTGCCCAAAGGGTTTCCTTCTTATTTCAAAATGAATTCACCTCCTTATTTCAAAATGAAATACATCAAGTATATTATTAGTTTCAGGCACATTAGCTTTAGGGAACAAGTAGTAAATGTTCCTTCTTGGAGTCCTCTCTCTACCTTCCTCACCACATGTTCGCCTTTTACAACACAAGCATCAATAGAATCCAATTCATGACCTCTTTGTTTGCACTTACTAGTACTGTCTGTAATAATTATGCTTTTATAAAACAAATACCATTCTATAGCTTTTTCAAAGTAAAATAACTATTCATGTATTCCTAAAATGCCTATGAGATGTAATAGCAAGCAATATCCTCATTTTCCAGACCTAGCTCTACAATGTGGATGAATGAGAATAGCTCTTGAATGTTGGACTTGAAGTTGAGGACTCGTGTCAGCTCATAAACTCCCTGAAAAAAACCCCTCAGAATGCTATCTTTAAATTTTTGAGTTATGAAAGGACTTCTAAATATGTCTAGGGATGGGTTCTTATTATATTAACTAGAGGCCTGATGCACAAAATTCATGCAAGAGAAGGCCTTCATTCCCCTGGCTGCTGGCACCAGCTTCCCTCTGGCACCCCGAAACCAGGCTTCCCTTGCAGCCCTGGCTTCATCTGGAAGGTCATCCAGAAGCACGTCCGGAAAGATGTCCGGTCTAATGAACATATTATGCTTTTATTATTATACCTTTTTTGGTATTTGATTGGCATTTGCTATCAATTTCCTCCCCCCCCCCTTTTTTTTTGTTAATCTTCACCCAAGGATATTTTTCCATTGATTTTTTTTTTTTTTTTTGAGTGGAAAAAATGTGGAGAGGCACAAAGAAACATTGATGTAAGAGAGACACAATAATTAGTTGCCTCCCACAGGTGCCCTGACCTGGGCCAGAATGAGCCTGCAACCTAGGTACGTGTCCTTGACCAGAATCATTCTGCAGGCTGCTGTTCTATCCACTGAGCTAAACCGGCTAGGGCAAATTCCTCCCATTGTTTACTTTGAAAATTAGCAAATCTTCAACAAACTTTCAAGAATGATACAGTGGACACCCAGATATTCCAGTTTCACCAAATGTTAATAATTAGCCATATTTTCTTTTATATTTCATTCTCTCTGCTTCTGTATATATTTCGAACATAGGTTTCATATATATTATATTGATCATATATATTTTTTCTATATAAACAATTTAGAAGTAAGTTGCAGACATTAATGACACTTTATCCTTATTACTTCAGCATATATTTCCTAAGGAATAAGGATGTTTTTCTATTTAACCTCTAAATAATTATTGTATCCCCAAAAATCTTTGGTTAAATATGAGTCAATGCAATTTGGTACAGTGCCATTATTTAATAGTATATATTTAAATTTCCACAATTGTTCCAATAATATCCTTTATAGTTTGTTTTTTAATTTTTTAAAAATATTTTTATTGATTTTTTACAGAGGAAAAGGGAGAGTTAGAAACATTGATGAGGGAGAAACATCAATCAGCTGCCTCCTGCACACCCCTCATTGGTGATGTGCCCGCAACCAAGGTACATGCCCTTGACTGGAATCAAACTTGGGACCCTTGAGTCTGCAGGCTAATGCTCTCTCCACTGAGCCAAACTGGTCAGAGATATATAGTTCGTTGTTTTTTGTTTGTTTGTTTTTTTCTGTTTTGTTGTTGTTTTTAATCAAGGGATCCAATTAAGGATTATGAATTGCATTTAGTTGTTCTGTTTCTTTATTTTTCTTTTATTTAGAATAGCACCATTGTCTTTTTTTTGGTCTTTTATGCTATTGCTATTTTTGAAGGAAGAGTCCAGGCCAGTTGTTTTATAGAATGTCTTTCATATTAGATTTGTCTGATTTTTTTCACATACCTAGAATACGAGAAAACCTTTTGGCAAGAATATTATAGAAGTGATATTTTAACCTTCTTACATTGTCATGTGTCAGAAAGCACATAAATCAGTTTGTTCTATTATTAATGATATTAGTTAAGTGTTATTGATTGCTTGGTTAAGGTGGTTTCTGCCAGCTTTTACCATTGTAGATGCAACCTTTTCTCTTTGTAATGAAATGATCTATGGAGAAATTTGTTGATAGTTATGGCCTTTTCAATTTAAATCTTTGTTTAGGCTTTAGAAAATTTTCTCTATTTTTCTGGTTACCTACTTCTTTCTATTTTCTCTGTTCTTTCAGAATTCCATCTATTTTTCTTAATTATCCCCCATATTCCATATTTATTTTTGAGGTAAATTCTAGGATAATACCCTGACTTGATTTTTCAGTTCATTATTTTAGGCTCCCAGAATGTTCATTATAATAATTAAGAACTGTGAAGGTTTGAGATTTTCCTCTATCTGTGAGTTAGTCTGCTAGAGTTTAATAGGTACTGGAAGAAGACATGAGACTCCTGGGTCGGAGACAGCTTATTACTCACACAATGGCAGTAGCCAGAATGTCATCATTGGTTTCTTGAGTCCTAATTCCCACAGGGAGATACAAAAAGGGCCAGATCTTATCCATACATCCAGGAGGCTGTGTAACAGAACAGGAATGCTGAGCTTAGGGATTTTGATTCTTTCTATAAGCATGTCTGCCTTTTGCTCCAGAGGGAAACATTTTCATTATACTGAATAGTAAGCATGCTTTGCTCTGGAGGGAGACACTGTCTCTGTTTCCCAAGGTATTTACCAAATAAACATCCTGGAAAAGATAGTGTAAAACAAGGGCAGTCAGTGCCTCACTTTGCAAGATGTACAGAAAGGCCAGAGATGAAAGGAGAATTGCCTTCCAACAGTAATTAATCCAGCTATTGCATTTTTTATTGGTTGATCCCATTTTTGTTTCCAGTGAATCTGGCTGCTTCCTTTTGTTTGCAGACAGTTATTGTTTTATGGGTATGACAGACTAATAAATCTTTCTGAGAATACTGATTACATATATTTTAAATTCTTCATCTGTTTCCACTTTAAAACTTATTCTTCAAGTATCAATTGTTTATTTTTTTTGCATTTGGCATTTCCCTGTCAGGGTATTGGTTTTTCTTAAAAATCTAGTCATTTCTGATGTCTATTTGATGCCATTATAAATAACGTGGTTATTAATAAGAGAAAAGGAGCAAAGGAAAGGCCAAATAGTATAGTCACTTATGCAGTTTTTCCAGGAAACTGCAGTTGAATACTCCCCATAAAGCCACCAGTCTGTCCCCCACGGGGTGGAGGGGTTGGGGGGAGAAGGTGACCAGGCCAGGGGGCGGGGGAGGGGGCACTGGACATGGGAAGAATAGGCGCATGCCCAGTAAAGTTTAGGTGGCCTAGAGAAGGTACTTGTTTATGGGTCACGCCCGGGAGCAGCTCATTGGCCAGAATAGCATGGCCACTGCAAGCATGGGAAGATTTGAGATATTTTAACTCCTAAACAAAGGAGTTTGCTCTCTCTTCCTCTTGCCTCTTGCCTCACACTCCTGCATTCACCCACAATTCCCACAGCCATGTGGGCCCCACACAATGGACCGGTGGACTAACTGTCCTAACGCCCTACTGGACCCAGCTCTACTCTGGACGTGGGCTTTACTTTTAGCTGTGCTGAAGCCCCAGCTGCACCTCTTCCAGGCCCGGATTAAGGGAAATGGGGCTTTGGAAATCAAGGGATGCAATTCTACACAAATAAATATCCCTCATCCTCCAGTGTGAGTTTCAGAAAATTCTTTTTTCTTGAGATAGCGGAAGGATCCCACTTCAGATTAATCTTTGAGGCTATCTGTTTGCCTATCATTCTGATTACAATGTCCTCTTTCTGGTTATTGTGGAGGAGGGGCAGGATGTGTGGTTGAACAAGGTGTGTCTAAAGTTTATAAAGGGTGCTTCTTTTTTATTTTTGAAAAGAAGTTTTAATTTTATTTTTCAATTATGGTTCATATTTAGTATTACTTTGCATTAGTCGCAGGTGTGCAGCATAGTGGTTAGATCATCATATAGTTTACAGAGTGTTCCCTCATGATTTCCGGTACCCACCTGGCAACCATGCATAGTTATTACAAAACTAGAGGCCCAGTGCATGAATTTGTGATGGTGGGGTCCCTTGGCTGGGCTGGCGATCAGGGCCTATAGGGCCTGGGGGGTGGCCAATGGGTGGG